TCTTCCTAAGAACCCTCAAAACTAAGAAAAAGGAAAAACAAAATAAAATTGGACTAGATAGTACTTAGGAAGTGAAAATATAAGTGGGATGAATAAGTGAAAATTGATCACATCCTATAGTTTTATTAAAATGTTTTAGATATGTTGAAGGAGCTATTTTGAAAAAAGTAGAATTTGTTGATTTAATTTTTTACAAGTTTCCTTTGTGTGTGTGTGTGTGTTTATATGTGTGTAATAGTTTGAATCTTTCAAAAAAGGTATTGTGCATATTTTATTAATACAAAAAACCTTTTTCTAGCTGAATTAAATGTCCTGATCATTTTGTTTTGGTTAAGCTGTGACTTTATTTATAAAACTTTATGTTGAGATATATATGTTCGTGTGTGTGTGTGTGTGTTTGTGTATATATATATGTATATATATATATATATATAAGATTTTGATGATTGAGAAAAGTGAAAAAGTAAATTTTTTAGTAAATTTTATTTTAGAGTTTGCAAAAGACTTTGAAAAAGCTTTGGATAGGATAATTAATTTTTTAGTGTCTTTATTTCCTATATTGGATGTAAGCCACTTTACACACTAATTTATATGATGATGTATTATAAATGCTTATAAGAGATCAACTGTAATTTAAAAATTTTCTTGTTCTATCTTTAGATCCGTACTTTACAAGATGTAGTGCTGTAATGTGGCTGATGGGACAGGTTCAGTCATGGCATCAGAACTTTGTAAGACAATCTCTGTGGCGAAGCTGGAAAAGCACAAGAATTTATTCTTAAATTACAGGAATCTACACCATTTTCCAATGGAGTTACTGAAAGATGAGGGCCTGCAGTACTTGGAAAGACTCTATATGAAAAGAAACTCCCTTACAACCTTGGTATGATAAGTGCAAACAGTATTTTATTTTTAAATATTTACTTATAAATTAATGCTGACCAAAATCAGAGTTTTGTTCTAGGGATTTTTATAAAGAGAATTATCTAATGGTGTACATGGGCAATACAAATACATAATTCACAGCATTTTCTTATTTGGTTAATAGGATCGGTTTATGTTGTTTCATTGTTTCCTTGTGAATCATTCCATTCTGTTCTCATTTCAACAGACTATTCATTTGGAAATTAAATCTTCACATCCTGTTATCTTTTTGCCCTCCCATTTGAGGAGATACTGCCTTGATATGTGGTTAATGTATGTTAAGAATTAAGATAATATATGTTGAATATTAATAGTGACCTGAAAGTGTGGTGAAACATTTAGTGACAGGGACAGAGAACTGACTACAGAGGACATATACCGGCTATGTAGCCCAGGGCAAGTCAGTTAACCTCCGAAGTGTCTGAGCAACTCTTTAGGACTGTAATTTAAAGAACAGGGGGAATGTGCTAATCACAAGTTCTCTATACCCATGAAATCATGGGTCAGGCCCACTCCCCCCTCTTCCTTCCTTATCTTTACCGTCTCAAGCAGTGAACATTTATGTGTCTTTTATTTTCAGGGCTTAGTATATTATTAGTAGCATTACATTTTTAGTAAGTGTTATTTTGAGTTCCAGTATTACAGCAATCATTTTAGACTTTTGTAACTTAACTTTTCTGTCCTTTTGTTTTGAGCTTTTTCAAAATTTTTGTTAAATTTAACAAACATTTATTAAATACCTACTGTATGCTGGACATTTGTCTTGGAGAAGACATAAAGAGAAATAAAGTGTCCCAATTGTGATGGAGTTTAAACATTCTAATAAGAGGATATAACACATAGACAAATAAACATATACAAAACAGATCATAAGTACATATGAGATCTGTAGATGAAAAAATCATTTCCGACTAGAATGATCAAGGTAGTCATCATTAAAGAGGTAACCTTTGGACTGGATGCAGAAGATTAGAATTTCATTAGACAAATGGGGGAAGGACATTTTAGGCAGAAAAAGGGTGTGCGCAAAAGCCTGGAGTTACTAGTGTGGGATGTGTAAAGAGTTGATAAGTAGTCCAATTTAGAGACAGAATACTTAGAGGGAGGTATTTTGGAATAAGTTTGGAAAAGTACAGTGATCTCAGATATAAAAAGAATTCATACAAGTGCCATGTGACAAACAATTTTTAGCCTGGCTTTCTTATGTTGAAGTGTTTTTATCATGAGAAATGAAGTGTGAATGTTACATTATAGAACTTTTATTACTGTTAAGCTACAAGAAACATTTATTAAATATGTAGGGAGTACTGTGTTTTTCATTGGAGGAAATAAAAAGGTTTAGAAAAGGTAATTCTTGCCTTCAAGAGACTTATAATGTAATAGAGAGGTCACCAATAATGATAGGGGTCAGAGAAGGGAGGTATTGTGACATTACTCCTTTAAGAGAGGTTTTAAAAAGCCTTCCCCTTTTCTAAAAAAAGCTTTCCCTGATCCTTCTATCCTGTGTAACTACTATCTTATCTCTTTCTTTTCCTTCACTGTAAAACTTCTTGAAAAAATTTACACCACACTTCATCACTACCTGGGCTTTCTTCAGTCTTTCCATACTTTTCTGTTGAAACTAGTTTCTCCACGGTAACTTTTTTTTTGTTAGTCCTCATCCTCCTTGAACCTTTTCACTTTCTGACTTTATTAACCACCTATTGGATGCTCTTCTCTCCTTCCTTGGCTTCAGAGCTCCTGGTTCTTTTATTTCTCTAACTTTTTCCTCTGTCTCCTTCCCGTGAGTATGTTTACTGTAAGATGGAAGCAAATGATGGAGGGATTGAAGAGCATGATAGTAAGGGCAGTGACAGCTGGATTGAGGTTTGAGAAAGGTCTGGAGTGAATGAGAGCAAGGGTGCAGGTAGAGAGATTAGCTTTAGGGAGTAGTTGGAATATCTTTTCTGTTACCAAAGGGAAGGAGGAAAGAAAGGGTAGTAATGCTGAGAAAGTTTGAGAAATAAAGGATGGCTGCTAAAGGAGTACATAGTAGATGTTTTCTATATTTTTAGGAAGGTGGTAGGACAAGTTATTTACTCTAAATGTAGGGATAAAGTGGTGTTTGGAGGTGAAAGGAAAGATGAAAAGGCATGAAGTAATTCCTGTGGTAAATTAGAAAAGTCCATAAGGGTAGAGTAGTACTATTTTGAGTAGCAATTAGGGCCTATCTGGAATTATATATTATGAATTTGCAGCAGGAGAAATCAAGTCAATTTGATGGGCAGCAGGTCAGAGGGACAGGGGAGTAGAGAGTAGAAATGAAAGTGAGAAATCCTTAAGGTCCAGGATTAGTACTGATAACAATTAACTAACATTTATATTGCCTTTTAAGGTTTGCAAAGCACTTCACATATATTATTCCATTTGATCCTTGCAACAGCTTTGTGAGGGAGATGCTCTTATTATTCCCATTTTACAGAAAAGGCAACAGAAGCCAAGAAAGTTTAAATGACTTGCCCAGGGTCACCTAGCTAGAAGGGATTTGAATCAGGTCTTCAAGACCATCTTTCTATCCATTATGCCACAGTACATTCTAGGAGGCAAATGAAGCTGGTGTATGATATGGATTGGTCAGGAAGCCAATCCTGACCAAGGATGAAAAGTAGATTTGGTGTCAATAAGAGTGTTAGGAGACATAGCTTAATGTAGTATAGGAAGCAGTGGTTAGAAAGTAAAATTTATAATTTCTTGATCTTGAACTTGATACAATTCCCAAAGATGGTGAGGTTTTAAGGTGAGGTCTGACTTTGTCAGTGGGTGCCTAAAGGGAAGGAGGAAAAGAGAAGGAAAATCACTGGAGTTGAGGAATGTGCTGTCAGGTTGTCAGAGAACTTGCTAAACTGAATATATGAGTCTTGAGAGTATGGTAAAAGGGGATAAGATTGAGTAGAAGGTATGAGCCAGGTATTCAAGTTGTTTAAAAAGTTGAAAGAATGACCTGCAGTTTGGAAGATGACAGCAACAAATAGGGAGAGAGAGTGATAGAAGTTGATTGTATGAACCTTGAATCAGTCAAATCAGTAAGCATTTATTAAGCATCTACTGTGTGTAAGGCATCCTGTTAGGCACTTGGGTTACAAAGACAATGAAATAGGCTTGCCCTTACAGAACTTCCATTTTGTTGGCGGAGACAATATGTGTGTGTGTGTGTGTGTGTGTGTGTGTGTGTGTGTGTACAGGTACATATACACATATGTATGTAAATATATACGTATATGTATATATAAAAAAGTGATTTGAGGGAAAAGAAGTTCCAGTGGCTGGGAGGATCAGCAGTGGTAATAAATTCTAAGAGCTCAGAGCTGAGTTGTTAAAAAAAAAAAAGGATTCAAAGAGTGAAAATAAGTAGTAAGTACAAGTAAGTACATTCTGGGCACAGGTAGGGAGGAGTGGGTAGCCTATGTAAAGGTACATAGCTGAGAAGTTGAATATCATATATGAGCCACAGCTAGAAGACCAGTTTAGTTGGACTGTAAAATATGGGAATGAGAATGTTGTTTAAAAGGCTGGAAATGTCAAGTCAACAAGCATTTTTTAAGTACCTACTGTGTGCAAAGCACTTTGCTAAATTCTGGGGATACAAAGAAGAAAAGTGTGTTGGAGCTAGATTGTGGATGGCTTTACATGTGAGGTAGAAGTTTGTATATGATCCTAAAGGAACGAGGAATCCCTGGAGTTTATTACATATGGGAGTGACATGGTCAGATCTTTGCTTTAGGAAAATCACTGGCAGCTGTATAGAGGATGGATTAAGAAGGAGATAGATTGGAGCAATAGTCATGGCTGGAAGTAGCATGGGAAGTCAAGAGATCATCTAGTCATCCAAATCATCTTGTCCAATCTCCTGAGTTTACAGAGGAGGAAATAGATCCCAAGAGGTAAACTGATAATTTAAACTAAGTAGCAGAGCTGAAATTCAAAAGAAGATCCTCTGCATCCAAATTCAATGTGTCTTCCATCCTAACTATACATAGATTAAGTTATTGAGTAAAGTTATTGAGATTAAGTTATTGGAGTAAAAGCCTTTACATCACCTTGAAAATTCTGTGTCCTGGGAGAAAGCTGTAATACTGCATTCTTTTCTACAGTAGTCTTAGGATGACAGGAAACCTTGGGTAGAAGTAACAGGAGTGGTGATTAATAATCAGTATTTATATAGTACTTTAAGGTTTGCAAAGCACTTTATTATCTCATTTGATCCTTACAACAACCCTTTGAGGCAGAATTCAAACTTGGGGCTTCCTGACCTCAGGAACAGCATTCCATCTACTCTGCCACCTAGCAGGCTAATCCCAAGGTCTAAAAAGAAAGAAAACAGATGACTTGGGAGAGATAGGAGGCCTTAATTTATCCTGGCAAGAGACTCCAACTTCCCTTACCCTCCTAGACCATATATCTGTGTCCCTGTTGTAGTTCTTCAGCTTCTACTTTAATGGAGCCTTTAATTCAGGTTATAGGAGCAATCTTTAGTACTTTGGATTTGGAGAATCCTTGATGTCACTGCAATGGGCAGTTTTCTGAATATATTTTCATATAGAACACTATTAACTGTGGTAGTTAATCTTTACTAGGAGAGGCGGCTAGGTGGTGCAGGGGATATAGCATGCGCTGAATCTGGGGTGAGGAAGACCCAAGTTCAAATTGTGTTTCAGACCCTTACAAACTGAGTGATTCTGGGAAAGTCACTTAATTTTGCTATGCCTCAATTTCATCCACTGAAAATGGGAATAATAATAACACCTACCTGACAGGGTTGTTGTGAGGATCAAATAAGATAATATTTGTAAAGCACTTTGCAAACTTTAATGTTTGCTACCATTTAAAGTTTGCTAGCTACCATTATTGTTGTTATCTTTATTGTTACTTTTACTTATTCTATGTAATTCGTAAATTAAGTATTTATGTGCTGACCTGCCAACTTTATTTCTAGAAAAAAATTTGTCCCAAATTTCAAGTGACCAACGTACAAATGAACTTTTGTAACACAATCTTTTATAAACTGGGACCTGTCCTTGAGGGTTTTCTTAAAATTGTGTCTCCCCTGTAATTTTAATGTCAGTGAATACATGGTATCTTTGCAAGATAATATAATTGAACAGAAGGTACATAAGTCAGTATTATACAAATATTTCCCAAAAGTGTGAGCCCATTGTTCTTCAGTGGCTAAATATCACACGTCAAATACTATTATGTTTATTAAATCAACAAATATACATATTCAGGACCTACAATATTATGTACATGGTACTAGAAGCTTCAGAAATTGATCTTGAAGTCATCCCTTCCAAAACTATGTTGTGAACTAAAGGAACATATGTCTTACAATCTAGACTTTTAAATAGTTGGCCTAATATTGTAGGTATTTTATGTGACTAAAGGATTTTGAATTTTTTGTGTTTTTGAAATAAGTGCCATTTATCTAACCAGCATACTGTTTTTATCACCCAATCAATTATCAAAATATATTAAGTAGGATAGTTGTCCTGTCTAGTGGACTTGAATTCAGAAGATCTGTTGTTGGAGATCTGTAAGGATGTAGAGGGCCACAGGCTGTTCATGAGGTCTCACTGATGGGCGGAGGCCCCTCTCAGGTGATTGATCTATGAGCAAAGGTTACCTGGTTCGGTGCTCCATTCTGTGCATCTCTAACTTCCCTAGTTACTCATTAGTCAGTAACAGTGTATTTGTGATTGGTGGTAGATATGTGCACGGACTGTGCGTGCACTGTCCTTGAGCACAGCATGGGTTATACGTCATTGTAACTTGAGAAAGAGTTCCTGTTATTTTACTATATAAGTAAGTGCTTTGCTAAAAATAAACGGAGTTGCTGCCATCCTTTCTCCCACCTCATCAATGTGTGCTGGGAGTTGAAAGATCAGGCTGGTCTTGATTCTTCAGGTGATTGGGAAATCTTAGGTCCTGGGTAGGCTCTGTAGCTGAGTGAACTAGTTGTGCACAACAATCTGTGAGTCCCCACTCTGCCACTTAACTTTCTAGGCAAGTTATTTCATATAAGGCAGCTAAGTGGTGGGTAGATAACACTCTAGACCTGGAATCAGGATGATCTGAGTTCAAATCCAGCCTCAGACACTTATTAGCGATATGATCCTAGGGAGGTCACTTAACCTGTACCTGCTTCAGTTTCCTCATCTGTAAAACACAGATTATAATATATCTAGTTTGCAGATATCATTTTGAGAATCAACTGAGATATCTGTAAAATGCTTTGCAAACCCTGAAGTGCTATATAAATGATATTTATTATTGTTATTATTATTAATTGTGAACTTCAGTTTCTTTATCCGCAAAATATATACATTTGATTGGATAATGTTCAAGGTACTATGTAGCACTGATATTTTGTCATTCTTTATTTTCTTTTTAAATTTTTATAAACAGACTGATTGAAAAGACTAAGTGATTTATCTTAGTTCCACTTGTGTGAGATGGACTTATTCCTTCAAGTCACTTCAGCTAAAAAAACCTTTTCCTTTCTAAAGAAATATTTTCTTTGTGATCCTCAAATTTAGTTTAATTCTATCATATAATTTGTCTGATTTGCAAAGATGTTCTTTGATTATTTTTCCTATTTTCCTGAACCACGTGGATTTTTTTTTTCATTTTTAAAGTGTAATTGGATGGATCTGTGATTTCTCATCCAAATGAATACATCTTCTACTGGTTTAATTCACAATTCATTGTTGCCTTTTTATCCTGTGTGACTTGTTTTCTTGTGGTCCCCACCCCCCACCCCAAATTCATTAAATCCTTCACAATGGTTCTATTCATTGTGTTGAAGACCTTCCTGCAGACTTCTTGACATTGTGTGGATATCAGTGGAGCACATATTCTGTGCAGTATGTCTAGCTACGTGATAGACCTATATTTTTTTCTGGTCATACATATCTACACAGCTTCTTTTCCCCAGTTCTTTAATAATATGTTGTAGCCTTCTCCTGTCTGCCTTGTGCTTTTCAATTACATATGTATCACCAGCAACTTTAATTTTTCAAAGATTGTGGTATTCCATGATTCATAGCCATCCAGCATCATAGGAAGAATTTTGATGTTAAAAAGTTGAGACTTTGTTTCAGGGAGAAGCTGAGGGTCATTAGCAGAACTGAAATTTTCTAAGGCCCTTTAGGCTCCTTTACTCCTACTCAGTACTGAATTCAGGTCTTTGTTCATCTTCAATACCTATCCAAGACTTATATACTGTTATACCAGCCCTGCAGGTTGTCCACACAACCGTATGTCACAGTCCAGACACAGTGAAAAGTATGTTATGACAAAACAATGTCCTGATAATAATGTTGAATCTGTAACTTTGTTCTGATGTATGTGGTATTGTTTTTGGTAATAAAAATACTGACTCCTTTAATAGGTATTGTAAAAGCAATTTTTACATTAATATAACTGAATATAAAATGATTGTCTGGATCCTAAGGATTTAACAGTATAATAATCCCCATAGTTGTAATATTAGTAAAGGTGTTTTTTTTTTAGACATTTAAAGGTACCTTCAACCTTACAGGAAAGAGGAAGTTGTAACAATTTGTCCTTTTGTTGCTTAGGTTATGGAAAACTTAAAACTTAGGCCAGTTTGCTTTGTGGCTAGTTTTTCCTCTTGTGTATGACTTGATAACTTAAATGAAATTTAGTGGAAATGAATGTAGTAGCAACAGGGCTGTCATCTGATTCTCAGTGTAGTGGAATGTAGACACCCTAGAAATAAAACTTTACAAGGAGTTGTGGGACATTATGTTTAAATGTTCGAGAAATTTTTTTGACAAAAACATATTTGTAGCATAGTCATCCAGAACTTTGTTTTAAAAATTTGTGATGTAGCCTGTTTTCAGGGTTTTTCCCTTTTTTCCAGAATTTTGTGAAAATATCTTGTTTTATTATCTCTTCCATAAGTAGGCTATTTGCATGATCATATTGGATGACTACTTGTTGGATATGTTGTAAGAGGATATTCTATTTCAATTATGGCTTGAACTAGCTTGCCACTAAAGGCTTTTATAGCTCTGAAAGTCCATGATTCTGGGATCTCCAACAGACTTTAATTTAGGTTTTAATAAACCCAAGGCCCCAAATACTTGCATCATCTTAATGGATATACAATGGATATACTTTCAGTAATTTAGGTATTTGGGGTAGATTCTTGAAAGCATTTTTCTCACAATAACAAAAATCCAAAGAGTTTTAAATATTGTATGTCTTCAATGAAATTTATTTGTATAATAAAAATTTACCCATGTGCTTTAACCCTTCTACATTTGCCTCATTAAATCTTCTGTGCTCCTAATTTACTGATGTCCTGTGAAATAATTTTCATTTTTCCATAATTTTCCACGTAGCACCTACCTCACAAGGCTATTTTGAGGCCCAAATGAAATTATGCATGTAAAGGTTAAACAAACTTTAAAGTGCTATGTAAATTTTAGCTGTTATTTTTATTATTACATAGCCCTTATACTATCTCCAGGGACCCTTTCAATATGTTATTAGTTTACTTAAAGGCATCTCCAGTCTAACAGTGAAGAAATGTAATTATCTGTGTGCCTAGCTTGCAGCAATTTCACAATATGATAACTTTACTCACTATTTCTGATCTACTTTATTATTGTGATTGTTAAAATAGGAAATATTCTAGTTAACTCATTTACTTTTACATAATTTATACTTTCCCATTAATTGCATTTCCCATAGGCACAAAGAATCTAAAAGATTTATTTTACCTCTTTTGAAAGTAATATTTAGTTGATAATTTAAAAACAAGATCTGGAAAAGTACATTTTAGGAGTAAACAGCTTGTTCAACTTTGCTTCCATTCTTAATATAGAACATTTTTTCTCTTAAAAATATCTTTGTACTTATGTAGAAAAACCATATAACCATAATAAATATGAAAAATAATCATAATAAGTGATGCATCTCTACTGTATAATAGCCAGGCTTTTGGAAATGTGAACTTCCCGTGCATTACTCTGTGATCTTAGATTTTTATTTTAGAGTTCTGAAATGACCTTGATGCTTTTTAGGTATGTTAGTTACTTTGGCACTTCATGATTTGTGGTTTTGTTGGTATTGGTGCCCTTTCCATT